TCGGCAGCAACAAGGTAGATGGATTCGGCAGATGGCTTCTTGTTCGATGGTAGCAGTCCAGTCTGTCCAGATTGATTTGGCAGCAACAGTCCACTCCAACAGTAGTCCTGCTCCCGAGCTCCTGCTACAGCTCCAGCTCCAACAGATCAAAAGTGGTAATTGAGAGGGATTTAGGTTTACTAGGTTGGGAGAAATTAGAAAGGCAAAGGCAAAGGTGAAAGTGAGATTTGGAGAAATTAGAAGTGAGAAAGATTGAAGAGTGAGTGTTGAGCATGGCTGCCAAGGCAGGAGTAGCTAGGGGTGCCGATGGTAGAAAGGAAGGGGATTCGGGAAAGTGACTAGGTGAGATTCGTGAGAATGATGAGAGGAAGGTTAGGGTTAAGAGGTTTTGTTAGTAATGGGTTGGGTGGGGTAAAATTAGATTAAGAATAATTTTTTTAAAATTAAGTTTGGATTTAAAAATTAAATTAAATTTAAAATAAAATTAATTTATATATATATATTTTTTTTTTTTTTTTGCAGGAATGGAATCCTCACGGCTTTTGTAAAGTGGGAAAACTTTCTCACAAAATTTCATGGAGGAAAAAATGCTGCCCGTCCCTGTTTTTTAAGAAGAATATTCTTTCTCATCCCGCTTTTGTGATGGAAATCCCACGAAGATCGGAGCAAATCCGATACCACATACTCCCTCTGTTCCATATTAATAGTCGTTTTAGCTGATTTTACGAGAACCAAGGAAATCAATTAATTACTCTTAATTTTACGGACAAACGCATTTAAAATACAATTTTACCCTTCTACTGCTCTACCATTTATCACCTGCTAATCCTTCGTTTTTTTTTAACTCCATCGTAACGGACAAAACTCCAAACTAAACCAAAAAAAAACATAAAATGTACCCAAAAAAAATACATAAAAGATATCTAATCATCAGTTTCAAGAAATCAACCTTTATACATATATATATATATGTTTTTCTTTTTTCTTGCCTTGAAGAAACTGGGTTTTACCAAATCATAGTGATGGAGCCATCGGAGAGTAACAGTAGAGTGAGAACAAGATCGGGGAATTTGAAACCGTCAAGAAGATTATCTTGTTGTAAGACTCTACTGGTAGAAGAAACGTAGGGAGAAGATGACCTTTGAATTGAAAGAAAGAGAGAGAAATTTCAGTTCATTGGCTTTAGGATTTTGTATTTATTATGGGTAAGTAAGAAGGGTAAATTTGAAAAAAAAAAATAATATTGTATAAAAATCTTAAAATGACAGATATTTAGAAACAAATTTTAATCTCTAAAACGACTATTAATATGAAACAGAGAGAGTATTTATTAAGCAGGGATCCTTTCATTATTAAGGGCATCACTTTTTTAATTTAATAATTAATACCTTGTAATTTAATAATTAATTGATTTCCTTGGTTCTCATAAAATCAGCTAAAACGACTATTAATATGGAACAGAGGGAGTCATAACATGTGGCCCTTTCTCCACCAAAATAATATTTAAGTGCATTATCGTTTGCTCTTTCGATATCCTCAAAAACCCACACCGCCATTCTCCATTAACGTCGCCGTCTTCTTCCCGATTCCCACTATGATCCCCATCTCAGATTTCTCTCGCCTGTTTTTCACTTCTGCTGGTATCTTTGCAATTGTTTGGTATGCATGGACATACTTCAAATCCAGAAAAAGGATTTCAAAGTTGCCGCCGGGGCCTCCTGGTCTCCCTCTCGTCGGCAACCTTCCCTTCCTTGACCCTGAGCTTCACACCTATTTCGCTGCCGTGGCTCGAAAATATGGACCAGTTGTCAAGCTTCAACTAGGAACCAGGATTGGCATACTGATCACCTCCCCTGCCCTGGCCCGTGAAGTCCTCAAGGACCATGGCATCACGTTTGCTAACCACGACATGCCCGCGGTCGGGGGAGTAGCAACGTACGGTGGCTCTGACATCGTATGGAACCCTTACGGACCCGAGTGGCGGATGTTGAGGAAAGTCTGTGCGGTCAAGATGCTGAGCAACACGACTCTGGACTCTGTTTACACGCTCCGGCGCAGGGAGGTCCGGGGAACCGTGGCTTATATCAACAGTCGGGTCGGGGCCCCAATGAATATTGGGGAGCAAGTGTTTCTGACCATACTGAATGTGATTACAAGCATGTTGTGGGGTGGGACGGTGCAGGGCGACCAGAGGGCTGCCCTCGGGGCAGAGTTCCGGGAGGTGATCTCTGACATCACTGAGCTTTTGGGTTTGCCCAACATTTCGGATTTCTTTCCGGCTCTGGCTCGATTTGATTTGCAGGGTTTGGCCAAACGGATGGGGAAGCTGGCAAAGAAGCTGGATACAATATTTGATAGGATAATTGAGCAGCGGCTGAAGTATGGAGATGAAGAAGAAAACAAGGATTTCTTGCAGTTTCTATTGAAGTTGAAGGATGAAGGCGATCCTAACACCCCTTTCACCATGACCCACGTCAGAGCCTTGCTCATGGTAAGTTTCTAATTTTTTCCATAGTAAGTCAGGTCTCTCTGCCTCTTTCAACACACTAACTAATGTTGGAATTGGACAGGATATGGTGGTAGGCGGATCTGACACATCCTCCAACTCAATAGAGTTCACCATGGCTGAAATCTTGAAC